ATAGGGGTCTAGGCTCCGAATATGAATTTGTTCCATTCGGTGTCGAGACCCTTGGTCCGTGGGGTCCTAGCGCTATAAGACTTTTCAAAGAAATAACGAAAAGGTTAGTCGACATCACAGAAGACCGAAGAGCTGGCAGCTACCTTGGACAAAGAATTAGTCTAGCTATTCAAAGAGGGAACGCTGCCAGTATCTTCGGAACGTTGCCTAAAGGGACCACTTTTAATAATATATTTTAGTTATTATATTCTATTTTTTTTTTTTTTTTAAGCTTTTTATTTTAGTTCTTAGTTGTACAATTAGGTTATGTAAATACTAGTTATATAATAATATTATAAAAATAAATACCATGTAATACTTAAAAAAAAAAAAAAAAAATAATGTAACTTCTATTTTTATCCACGTCATATTTTGAAGTAGTGGATAATACATATTTATTTCTGTCAACGCTCGGCACTAATGCTTACATTTATTGCCATATAACATAGATTTCTTTCTTCAGTGTAATTAAACACTGAAGAAAGGAATCTAATTGCGGAGTCGGAGTGCGACTGCTAAGACAGTTCACATTACGACTCTACGTAGAGGGTTTACTGCAATACCGATAAGCAATGTAGCCCACTAATAAATTTACTAATGTAGTACACCATATATGTGAATATATGGGTGTAATATTGAACCTAGATAGTACTGAAAACTAATAAAGTATCACATCATACATAACGCTATAGTGAGGTGATATCCATCGTTCTTAAATACCATTTGTACATTTTCACATTACATTTCTTATGCAGTTGATACAGACTAACACTGTTTCAGGCACATTCGTAATACGTCTCATGCACATTCGTCAGATTTTGTTTTTTACGAGTACAGTACCTTTGTTAATTGCTTCATTCCACATAATAAATATAAAGACAATATTCGAATATCTCATTTGTTTTTATATTTGTAATAATATAATCCAATACGTTACTTACTAAAACCTAAACTAGGGAGTATAATATTATAAATCAATAATGTACGCAACAATCTATCCGGCGTACAAATAGTTCCGCGTGTTTTTCTTTAATTTATCGAACCCAATCCATTTGTACAGACAAACATAATTTTGAGACATGTAATGTGAGCCATCTGGTTGGAATGCTCCAATCCCTGCACGCTTATATTGATATTAATTGGATGACACAGAAACCGCTCTACTGGGAACGTACAACAGATTAATAAAAGCCGATCCCAATTGTAGGAATTCCCTTTGTGACTTTGAGATACGTCTAATAAATCCAAATCACGAGATTGTACCTCATCGTATATCTATAGAGATATTGAGGATTCTTTCTTTGTTATTATTTATCATTTCAAGGACCTACAGATTGTTTTGAGAATAGAAGCTCGAAATAAAAGATCTGGCGATGTTGCCGCTCACTGAAGTGTCTACTTGTACGAACATAAGATACGTTGGAGAATTCTTTATAGGTAAAAAAGTATGTACTCTTTACGGATAAATTTGGAGTTGAAAATTTCCAGAACCATCTACATTTTTTGTCATTATATAGAAAACTGCCACCAATTATTCATTGTATTCCTATGTGTTATTTAAGGCTTATTTGTATAACGTAGTTGCTTACAATTTGCTCTCGCTGTAACTTTATTATCGTTATCTATCATTCACTGCTAAACGTGTTTCTCTCATCACAAATCACAGTACTGGCCCACCAGCATCCATCTCTATTATTACTACAACATATTTTAGATTGTCGGACCATGCACCGTCTTAAAAGATCGATCTCTTTTACTTATTTGAGTTTCTTCCGCAGTTGTAATAACCATATTTTTAAAAGAAATTTAAAATATGTCGTTTCAGAATTTATCTAAATTTTATATTGTTGTGATGTATTTGCGACAACCAATGATTCGTCATCAATATATCGAATTATAAATTTATTTAAAAAAAAGGTAACGTATTAAATTTCTGAAGTGTTTATTATCATTAACAGACACTTATGTGTCTAAGCTAAGTGAATACTGTTTGTTAGCTTTTCGCAAAAAAATTCGAGACAGATTGTGACAACTACGAAGACGAATTTCAGTAGCGCGTAATAGTCAGTTTCATAAACTCTTTAGACATGTTTTACGAGTAGAAGAGTGTTCTGAAATCATACTACAAACTCATTTTGCTCATTGTCGGATTCTTTCAAATAGAAATAATTCTGAAAAACAAATTGAAACATAAAAAGCTATTTTATGCTTAAAAATACTGGTTTCATTGTTGAGGTTGACCGTCGTCACTTTCATATGCGTATGTTCCCAAATTCTGATTCGTTGGCAGCTGTACGTGTGGAGGACATTCCCTACAATGAATGCTCTGTTTTTATTTTTATTGGCAATTAAACAATTAACCCTTTGAGCGGTACAAAAGACCCAATTTCTGAGGTTCCCCTCTGCGTCGAGCGAAATTTTATACTCATTGAAGGCGTATTGTGGTGAATTTTAGGGCGATTGTTCGCCGCATGAGGTGAAAGCGTTTGCTCTGAATACTGGAACACCATTTACTAAATGAGGAAGTCTCTCAGCTGGGTACTTACTAAAGGGAGGGTTAAATTAGGTCTAGATCTTTATGTGAGTTGTAAAATTATTATTTTTTTGTTATCCTTTGTACGATCCATCCATGCATAATAAATGGGAACCCTTGTATTTGTGAATTTTGTATTTTTGCTCCTGTTTTGTATTTTTATTATGTAATTGGAATGACAAACAAGACAAAAGCCCACCTGATGGCAACCATCGCTTATATACATGAACAGCACTAGAACATCACGTAATCATTTGACACTCGTGATACCACTAATGCATTGCCCTTCTAGAGGATTAGATCTTATGCACCTTATTCTGTAATTACACTGCTCATTCTGAAGCCTATTAGCAATAAACAACTTGCCTGAAACAAAGTGCCTAACTCTGATATAGGTGAGACTGAGGTACCCACGGAGACGTCTTATTACAGTTTATCTCTGGTCGAAAATATAAACATATTAATTAAAACACCTGTATGAATTTAAAACATATTAAAATGTATGTTTGTATGAGCCGTAATCCAAACAGACAAGTCTCTACAAGCAGAAGACGAATGATAAGCTAAAATGTATTGGCCCACAAGAGTAAAATATATACATATGTATAACAGTATAGTGAAAATAAACTTCAACTTTATGTTTTTATGATTTATTTAATAAAAATCTCTTTTGACTTGAACACGATCACTAAATTACAGACAATTAAAGAAATATTTATATCGTGTAACATTCAGATTATTTACGTTGTATATCAGTCGAATAGCTTAGAACAGTAGTTACTAACCATAGTCGCACTGACTGATTCAAAGAATTTATACATCATATTTACATATTTCTAAGTAAAAAATATAGATATAGCAGCATTAAGAAATAGAGCAACCATGAATATAGTTTTAAATAATAAAATTGTAAATCCTCATTACAATTTATAGACAACGTACGTAGGTGACAATGAAAATTGGCGAAAACGAACAAATGGATAGGCTGCAGATTAGTTATAAGAAAAATAAATATATTATTATTTTTATTAGACAATACTGGGATATCCGTAATTATCAATAAATGGAATTTGCTAATATTATTTTATGATTCTGATGATGTGGATGATAAAAATGTTGATAATGACTGAAATATATAAATAAATATTTTTTTCATATTACACACATCATAACTCTAAAAGAAGTATTTTTTTGAGTCAATGAGAAAATATCCATAATCGAAAAATTGTAATTACATTGATAAAAATAAATTTTTATATAATAATATACAGATATTAGGCCTAATTATACACGGATTTATGTAAGCCAGTTAGTAGAATATAGTTATCGATACAGAAAACGTAGGCAAATAAATTGGATACCCTACAGTTGGTACCTAACTCTATTTTGAGCCCTTAATATAATTTGTGATTTCATTAACAGCCTGCACCTACTATTTGTGTATGCAGTAAAATTAAAATATTAGTCAGTAACAACAATTTATATAAATCTATGTGCTGAGTATTACAGAGATAAGACAAAATAGCCTTCACATATTCTTATAAAATGTTTTAGTAAGTAGTATTCATTAATTACCTATATGATTATTATTTATCACTAGTTCTTGCATTTTCTTAGGGTAACATCTGCCTTATTTAATTATATAACGCAAAGATGACACACCGATCAAATATATTTACTTAGGTTCCTTTAATGGTTGCGATAAGAATTTCAACTTAAACAATCAAGTATCGGTATACTAATATTAGTTCTAGTTTTATAAATCGTTATTTTGTTTTCGAGTATATTTATTACTTCCTTTTTTGTTTACAGAAATTATTGGAATTCTGGCAATGTAACTTATATGACTTTCGCATTTGTAGATACATAATTGATATAATAATTGAACATACATTTTTTCTACTTTCTGTACCTAATCTTTGCAAAGATTGATAGTACTGTTTATGTTACCGAATCCTTAACTAATTACATTTATATTACTGTTTTTTATTTTTTAATGCTCAAAGTCTATTTCAGTGCTGACTCTTATCGTTAACCAATCTTCTTAACATCTATTGTTTTACAGTATGCGTTTAAAAACTTCTGTTGCTAAAAAAATCATTACCAGTAAAGTTTCGTAACTATTGAATTGCGATTGTTTTTAATTGGGATTACCTTAAGGTAATGTTACTACGGTTAAATCGTTACCCATTCAGTATTCATAGTTTATTTGGTAATATATTCGTCCAGTTTGGCACAAAAACATAAAATGTAATGCCAAAATGTTAAAATATGTTTGATCGACATCGGTTCATTATTTGAACGGCTTTTTGTGAGTGAACTAATTTCTTTTTATTTGAGAAAGATTTTACATTTTATAATGTATTAAATATATGAAATTATGCCTAAAGCAAACTCGAAAGTGACTATCAAATAACATGTATCTATGTACATACGTAACATAAAGGGTGCACCATGTTTTTTCTTAGATATTTACAAAATATACAAGTCTATACTAACAATTATTAACAATGACAATTATTCTCCGGGAATAACATTTTTATTCTATATTAATAAAACAAAATTTTTACACGTTTTTATAGATATTAAAAATAAATAGGTTGGACCATCTATATAATATATATTTTGTTTTAAAATAAACGAACTACAGAATGATCATCTAAAAGAAGATAATATAATTTTGCCCGCAAGCCGTACAATTCTATTGAGTCAATTATTTCTTGGAAAGAAAAACATGAAATGCTTCAGGCACAATAATCTATTTATGACTATCACCATTATACAAATACTTTTTGATATTTTATTATTGTTATGAACAATTAATAAATTATTTGAATCTTCCTTAAATATTGTTTAAATTGTTCACACTATCATATTCAAAGTAACATATAAACCATTTTAGGGTACTCAGATGAAATTATACAGACTATATACAATTAGATTTTCATTTATACAGCAAAGTTAATAATGAGATATCAAAATTGTCACAAACGAGTACTATAAGAGATAAAATGGCAGCATTATTTATCATTTACAAAATCTGATTCAACTGCGTCAGCCTTTTCATGTACCTATTAACTACTAAAAATTGATAAGTAACAACAACGTAGTCACTGCGTTTCTATGAAACGTTTGCCATAACAATACAAATAATTAATTAGGCTTTTCTATCACTTCACCGTATACACACCTCATTTAAGTGTTGAATGTCTTTTACCGTACTTACACAGATTGGCACACCTATAAGTCTTTGAGACATTATGAGGTGTTCTTTTAATTTGGAATGTTTACGACAAAACTGTTTCAGCAATATTGAATGTTTGCGTTTTATCAAATCTTTGCATTCAGTTCTGTCCCTTTGTATTAAGTAACCCCTCGAAGGAGTTCGAAGCGGGGATGGTAAGGGGACTCGGCCCCTCAGCTCTGTGCTAGGGAATCCAGCGGCACCACCAGTTTTCCGTTGGAGTAGCTGAAACCAACAGAAAAAAGTAACCTAAGTTAGAACGACATTTTGAGTCACCGATAAATTAATACTGGTAAGTTTCTCTTTAAAATAGTTTTGTTTGTAGTTAATATGTAGTAATAGTAGTATTTCATAAAAGTTTGAAGTGTAAGTTTACGTGTAGATGACGTGATATAATTATAATATATAGATATAATAGTAACCTGTATGGTATAGTAGATGTTCTGGATTTAGCTCTGCTTGGCCTACAGGCTTCATCTGTAACCAAGACATTCTAACTTAAGCCATCTTCGATAAACAACAATATATTTTGTAGAATCCGACGTTTGTCTTAGCAGACTAATCGCAAAGTTCCCCTCATATCCTATCGAGAAGGCTTAATTAAGTGGTAGCGCATGCTATTGTCTCGGTTCTTGTGGAACAAAACTTATCTCTAGTCGAAGTTTGCAAAAGTAATATCTGCAATACCTTAATGAGGGAACTTTGTATCGACTTTGTTAATCGCCACTGACCCAGCCGCGATGCGCCGCTTGTTATCGACTCTTTGGTTGTTTCACAATTTTTTTCTTTTATTTAAACAGAAATATTTTACTTTTATTCTTGTGTTATGTTGTGGTATGTGATTAATGATTGTAAAACCAAAATAAAAATTACGAGGTAAGGATTATGATATCCTAATGACACTGTTAATTTAATTTTTCATGGACGCGCCTTTTCTAATTTGAGATAAAATAAAATATCTACGTATCACAATTGGAATTGAAAATTGAAATAGAAAATAGTCTATTTTTAATTTATCGGACCCTTACCATAATAATATCGCGGCTAACATCGTTGTGAGAGGCACGCATCGCATTTGACGGGCTCGGCACGCCGCTTGCCCTGAGAGCCCTGCGAGCCGGACTTACGCCGGAAAGTGTACCTAACGAGCAGACCTGTAATGCAAAACGCCGAACCGTTAACAAAATAAACAAATAAACCAAAATTAAAACAGAGCCACGGGCGCGCGTCCATCTGAAAAATGCCTATGGGCGAACGAAAGCGAGCGAAATAAAAAAAAGAGATGACACTCTCACGGTTTCCACGACATGACACCACCGGATTCATTCACATTTTATGTGAGAATAGAACTTGAGATATAACTTGTGCAATTTTTGTTCTAAAAATATATTTTGTTTGTTGTGTGATGGCAGTAAGTGAATGTTCTAAGAATGTTTTTATGTATTAAGACGTTTTATTTGAGCTAAATACAGATATGTATATTTTATTCTATATATAATTGAAGCAGCGCTTATAACACTATTATTTTTAACTTATCCATGCATAAAAAGTAGTTTAACGCTAGGGTAAAAAGAACCTTGGCTTTGAAAGTTCTTTGGTTAAGGTGTTTTATAACAACGATTAAACTTACCGGTGAGGCCAGCTTTGTTGATGCTATTAGAGCTCGAAAAGCCCGATATTTTTTTCCAAGCTTTTTTATTCCAAAACCCGCTAGTTTTCGCATCCCCGCAACTGGAACTACGCGGCGAAGGGATATCTTTAGGACATCTCAGTCCACAATCTTCTGCACCGAGTATGCGTACACCAGCACCACGCGTTCCATATGCTACGGCAGGCAAATGAGGCACTGATCCCGTCGGCTTACGTCGCAAACTACCTACATAACTTGCTCCACTGCTGCTACCGCTAAAACCACTATCTAGATCAGGAGGATTGCAACTAGCAGGTGATAATAATTCATCAGTTGGACCTACTCGGAGTAATTCCTCTATATTATCTCTATCTTCCGCCCGTTCAGAATCTGGTGACTCACATTCTGGCATTAACATTGCTTCTACGCTAAGGTTTAATTCCCCTAAAATTCGTTTATGCCTGGATTCTACACGGCGTACTTCTTCTTCAACTACACTTCTATCAAGTGAGACCAATGATTGCCTAGGTACATATCTATGTTTTGGACATGTCCTTGAGCCATCTGTAATTTCTTCATAGATATTTTCTTCTGTTCCATATCTTGTAACATAATTATGACGAGCAGACCGATCTTTAGGAATGCCACCACGTCCTCTTTGGCGATTTGTTTTTCTCGATGAAGAAGGCATCGATAAATGATGATCATAATAGGCATACGAATAGTCCACAGGTTCAAATCTTTCCATAGTTGCTGCAATATTGCTTCTATTCCAAGTTTGTGGAGGCGGTTCTCTAGATAAATTGACAGCAGCAAGTCTCGCCGGTAAAATTTCATCCAAATCTCGAGCACATCGTTCATCCAGCGACTGTGCACCATCATCTTCTTCTCGTCTATGTTTTCTATGGGGTCTTCGGGAAGTTTGAGACCGTGGATAAGGTCGATCACAATCTGAGCCGTGTCCATGATTATAATCTGGTGTATGACTTCGATTATAGTCTACAGGACGATGTTTACAATCAATAGTGTGATGATAATCTGAAGTGCGCCTAAGACTATAACTTGAATTGCCTTCATAGTCAGATCTGTCATAAGAAGGACTATCGTCAGCGTTGCTGGTATGCGCATGAGGGCAGTCGGCTGCGATGCCTGATTCTGATGAAGGATAATCGTGAACTTCGGCAGTCGTAAGAACACGGTCGTCTGGCCGTGCTGGTTCTGAGGTTGCGTGGCGGTGATGAGGGCGAGGTCGCGTCGTTTCGCGACAACTTGCAAAAGTTCTTTGCAGTGATGGTGTCGGGTAACGTACGCAATGTGAGTCGTACACCGCCTCCCCCGCCTCGTCGGGGCTTGGCGGCGCGCTTCGTGATTCCATGGCTCATCCTCTCATTGCCAATTAGAACCTGCAAAAAAGAAATTTTGTATAAGTTTATATTATCCACATAGCGAATTAAATCTAATTTACTTTGGTGCTGCGTACATGTTTACATAAAAATATTAATATACGATTTTATTATTGTGTCGCCGATATTGTGTATGAAATATTTTACTTTTAATAAAGGCCCGTGACCGGAGCGCAGTGCTGAGGCCGAGGGCAATGAATCCGAAATTACATGCTCCGTGATAAGGGTAGGGTAAGTAGCGATCAACACAGCAACCAACGTCGATATATCATCATCAGTCGCTGGGTTATAAATCGGTAGACGGGATTTCACACCATGTTTACATTTTATACACGCAACGGATTTGAAAAACGATAGTGCTGTGTCTTAGATAAGTAACATTATATATCTATGTATATATATATATATATCGCTCGGAAGATAAAAAAGTTACGACGGATATTTATTTATGTTGTTAAATATCTCTGTACAATTTACATACTTGTAATGAGAATATCCAAGTTTACATCGAAGAAGCATGTCCATTTCGACTAATGAGTAACCATTTTTTGCGGTTTGAACTTATGTATTCTGTCATAAGAACGGTTGTTTAATTTCTAATGTCGGATTTCTATTTTACTATTTCTGTGATTTAGGATTTTTATTTGCATATTATATTTTTTGTCACAATATGCTACCAAACCAAAAATATTATCAATCCTAATAATAATTATACCAAAGGATTACAAAAAGAATCACCGAAATCTAATTTGTTAACGATACACAACACATAAAAAAGATTTTAAAATCTTTAAAAAAATACTTTTGAAATATATACCTATAAGTCTTTTTATTATACTTTATCTATTGATTTCATAAAGAGAGTAAATTGCACACTGATCATATTTGCATGAAAAATGGATTACTACACCCCGCTATAAATTATTTCCGCTCCATAAAATGTGACCTTATTTACATATGCCTAATGCGAATATTGAATACGTAGCATTCACTACATGATAAATAGTGAGAATAGTACAATTTTAAATATTATAAATAATTTAATTTGAAAAGGTTCGTAAGAAGAATCGAAGGCAAGTATAATACAATTTTTTAATACGCAGGTGTCATATTCGTACTATTTAAATCAGTATTTCATTTAATACGCCGTCACTTTCTATTCTAAACGGATAGTAAAGAACATCTAATATAAAATGTTTCATATTTTTTTATAAATGATATATTTGCAATACAGGACTTAACGATAAATAAAGATAACGAAAAATATCAATTCGGATTGCGTACGTTAAAACAGTTAAACAAGAATTGTTTAACTGATAACTGTTTTATCCCGAATAAATATCGCTGGACAAAACCAGCACGATTGTTAAAAAAAATCCAATAGTCCAATTTTGTTGCGGATCCCCTTAAAGTAGATACAGATTCCAGACCAATTTATTACGATAACGATAAGTGTCCGTGAACTAGTGTCGCAACTGTCGCAAGGGCGTCTGTACCCTACCGTTGTCATGGCAACGTCCCGATCCCGCGGTTTTATCGTTGCGCTTCCGCCCGATATTCCTTGCATCTAAATCATCATCAGCGCTGGGAAGCCGCTCGTAAAGCGCCCGTTGACCGTCCGGCCGTGGCTATAATTTGTTATGCCCCGGATTGCCCACTACTGCCCGTCATGGCCTATCTTTCCCGCTAGTCTTGGAATCTCGTCTCTATTGTGTATGTCACTGTTAAGGCGACTCGCATCCTTGTCGCAATCTCTGTGTATTTGGGGGAAATTCGTAATGGCCTTTTGTTAGATCGCGCCGCTCGTTTGGTTTTTTGATAAACATTTCATGGTATACAACGGCAGATTGCTATAATAATATGTCGGTGATGTCTTGTTTCTCTTGTGTATGGGTTATCAAATGTATCTTTCGAATTGCTTGCAGGGTAATGATAGCGTTCATTATCTTTAATTGGTCAAACACTATTATCTTGTATTTAACTTTTATGAAGGCTTATTTAAATAAAATAATAAGGTAAATATTTATACATTCTAATCAGTGCATTTTCTTTTAGCTTTTTTATAATTTTGATTAGATTATTTATAATATGCAGTCGGTGTTCAGTATATCTACATATTTGTAGCTTAATTATTTCATGCTTATAAAGTTACTATTATTAGTGATGTCAATACCTACAATAGTATTCATTAGTTTTAGGTATTGTATCTTTGACTTTCATTAGTATAAAAAAATATGCAGATTCCTTATTAAAGCCAATCAGAACAATAAATACAACAATGTACTACATAACTGAAGGAAACATTGCAAATTAAACGATATTTGAAGTTATAACAACAAAAAGCGATAGCATTCTTTCATACGGCACATGATATCAGCACATTTTTCGTCCCCTATCTGTATTCCCTTCCGTTATACAGTTCGAATACATTATGAGGGTGTAAAAATCACGCGACGTTTCCTAATGCCAACGTAATTGCAATGAAATTTATAACACGTTTTTAATACTAATTTAATATGGCACAGGGTTCAGGCATTTAGGGTTGAACCCATTCACTTAAAATCAACTGAAAGAAGAAAAACTCTCTTTTTATATCACAGTAAGTGAGTTGTTACATAACATATAATAGAAATATTACCGTCTTCGGAATTGAAAAATATTTAAATACGGAAATTCTTAAATCGACTGTAGTTCTTATGTTATGCGATATCTTTGCCGATAACAATATGAATGATTATTATCTTACCATAGGTATAAATGAAATTGGTTTTATTTGGAAAAAATTGAAAACAATCTAAAGACATAGCTATTTTCTTGTTTATATTTAAACTTCACTTAGCAGATTCGCCCAGATTGCGCCTTCCTTTGTTTCTCGAATTAATTTTTATATTTTATATTGTGTTTTTATGTCCATAGTGAAAAGTTAGTAAAAGATTTAAGTTATTCATTTAATTCATCCTATATTTTCCGTTGGTGAGTAAGAATGCTATTTCCATCAGGCTACTAATATTGTAAATATATAATAAGTTCTCAATTCCAGCATTTTTGGTATAAGAAGGCAGTGTTTACACATCGTTCTTCCAGACTTTAGTCGGTAGTCTTCCTCACTGTAGTGCTGTTGTTTGACTATCATCTGTTAAACAGCTTTGCTGTCGACCAACGGTTCAGCAATATTTACCACTATGCAAATAATAAGTGAGTATGTATTACATTTTGTAAAATATTTTTCAACCTTTAAAAAGCATTAAACTATACTCAATTCTTGAGGTTACATTTACATAATGTGTGAGATATCAGTTTTCGATTTTTGAAAGATTAGTGTACCCTTTAATTGTTTATAGGGCATAGTTGCTACTTTCTATCAGGTTGATTTTCAGATTGTCATTATTTGGCCCCGATTACATAGAACACATATAAAATATATGTGTTTTATGTAATCGTAAATACTTCATCTACATCACAAATGTTCCAGATATCAAAATTCATGTAACGCATCTACGTGCGGAATAATAGCAATATACCCTACGTTATCACGCCATTATAAATAATCATCATCCATCATGAGGCGATAAAATAATAAGTGTTCCCATTTTCTATGCACCCCTCGTGTCCATTCATTACGTGTAATAGGTTTTTTTTATACTACTGTGGTGTGGTCACATGTGTTCTACAGCTTCTAAGTAATTGGTGATAGAATATAAAAAGTATTTGCTAATGAATTGCGTATATGTTATTCTAGTTAGGGCAGGCGGAGTCATTATTGATTGATTGTTGTATATCAATAAGATTTCTGTACATCGTTCGTATATTTATTATTAAATTATAGGTTTAGTATTTGAATAGAAACAAATTAATGGGCTTCTAAAAGGTAGTATTGTGAAAAAATGTATCGAAAACGTTATTAATATAAGAAACAGTTTGCTATTAATGTAGTTATCTAAACAGGTTTCAGATTTATGAATGTACATAGATACTTAAATATAGCAAATGGAGTGAATCATATTTTGGATAGTAAATCACCCACATATTTTATTGTAGTAGCAATAATGGAACATAATGGTGTATTTATTATCTGAAGTTATAAAGGAACTAAATATTTTTAAGAATTTTAAACTATGTATATATACGCCTACCCTCGATCCCGCTTTCAATTGTTACCCCCCTCCTCCCGTCCCAAACGCCTTTGCCAGAACCACTCGAGGAATCTGAAGCTTCCTAGCAGTAGAACTCAGTTTATGGGTAATTCCTTTTAGTTTCGTGCTGCTCAGCTATGGAATAATCTCCATTTGGAGATTCAATTTGTCCATTTAGTGGTTCTTTTAAGAAAAAGTTAAAATCGTACTACCTTTCTACTGCTATATAAATAGTGTCATCATTGTATATATATATATCTTTGTAGTATTTATTGTTTGATTTAGTATATATTTATGTTGTTTATTATATATTTATTATAAATGTAATTTTGTTTAGGTATTCAAGTACATATATGTATCTTTATGTATATTGTATTAGTATGTGTATTTTGGACATTATATTTTTATGTTTAGTTTTAATTATTTATGACATTTTTATTAAATTATTATTTAAACATTTTGACCCACTCAACACTTCCTATGTCACGCTCTATTGGGTTGACTGGAAGAGATATCTTTTAGAGATAAGTCCTCCTTTGTTAACATTAGTTGTAATTAATATACTTACAAATGTATTTAAGTGCAATAAAGAATATTTATTATATATATACTGAAAACACTAAGCGAAAATATACTTGTTCGCTTTTCTGATGACTAATCGTTGTGATAATAAAAATAAAATAAAACTGGAAATAGATATTGTATATATCAAAATAATTAGTCATATTTTTTAGCTTGGTAAATAACACATTTAGTACTACGAATAAAATATTAATCTTATAGATACTACCTACTGATTTATTCATTACAAAGTTGCCTATGAAGAATTGTTTGTAATAAATTGATGACAGAGGCGAAAGTTTCTGA